GAGAGAGAGAGAGAGAGAGAGAGAGAGAGAGAGAGAGAGAGAGAGAGAGAGAGAGAGAGAGAGAGAGAGAGAGAGAGAGATGTTGAAGATTGAAAATGATGGAGCAACTGCAGACAGGGTAAGTGAAGAGAGAGTCATCTAGCCTTTGATTAAACACTAATAAACAGTGATTTCGCAAGTACTAACTGGAATCCTTTTCAAATGGATGGTGTGCGAAGGTGTTAGATTCATGATTTATTTATTATTATTATTTTTTTTCTGCTTCTCAAGTTTGTGTATTTCTTGGGCTTTTTATATTGGGAGGTTAACGAATACAAACTAGTGGTGTTTCCTGTCTAAACACTACCGAACGAGCAACAACGGGTATTAGAGTGCTATATTTCGTAACAAATCCAAATGAGTGGTATGTTTAATTCATCGAACCAACAACTGCTGTGTCTGGTTGTATAGTTGGATGGTTGGCGATGTCTGCGTCACTCTCCAGATCTCCTACTGATTTAACTTCCCGATGTAACTGCCCCTTGTCCCTCCCCACCCCCTCGAGTCATGGTGTGCAAGTCTTCTTCCCTCTGGTTCTGATTCTCTATGCAGACTTGGGCAGATTGCTCAGTTTGCGAGCACTTCTCTGATGCATTGCTTGTATCCATTCTTCTGTTTGATTAGCTGTTTTCTTTGGATGCGTTGCTCTCCTGGCCTGCCGTGAATGCCATGAAGGCGGACGGATGATTGACAGCCACAGCACCGCTGCTCACAGATTATCACCCCCTCTAGGTACTTATCCGTCCACCTGGGAGGATGTATAGTGTTAAGAGTATCGTCTAAGTAATAGAACTGCTAGTGGAGTGGCTGGCCCATTGATGTTGTTTGTGGAGAAGTGTGTTTTCGAAACGTTTGCTTCACTTTGTGAATGGTATGAACTATACATTATGATGGGTCTGTGGCAAATTGTGAAGACACCTGATTGGCCATTGTTCAAAGACTGACGCGCTTTCGCTTGTCCATTTTATAAGTATAGTTCAGATGCATCCTATGCATAGAAGGGTTAGTGGGTGTGCCCTCTGTTGGTTTTCCAACCCCATTAGTCAAATGTCGCTGCCCTTGCTGTGGTATATTCTACGTCTATTATTACACTGTTAAAGTGCATTCTAACGCTTAGAAGGGCGGCTTCGCTGGCTTGGTGGTTTATCAAGGCTGTTGGTGCAGAAGTGCGTTTGCAGTCTTGTTACTCTTGTGTACGATTTCTGAACGGTAGTAATTTGTCACATGGTGTTCAGGCTTTTACTTCTGGCCTGTGCGCAGTGTGCGTCATATTTTTAGAAGCGTTAGAGAGAGCAGTTTTGATTTATCAAGTTGTCTATGGAAAATCATGTGATTGTAATTCTTTGTGTTACTTCGTTTGAACAATGCGCGGATCATACTTCCTGGCAGTTCCTGCTGTTAATTTCCCTGTCGCCCCCGTCTGTTGGGTTCATTTGATCTCAATGGCGCTATCAAAATCCCAACCATGAAAGGGTTGGTTGTTTTTTCTTTTCCCCGTGTCCAGCATGTATTGCTGCATGCCTGGAGAGGCATTTACAACATTGATTCTGTTTGGTCTCGTCGCTTCGTTGAACCACTTAGGGAGTGATCTCTAAAGAAGAATGTTGCCGTTGATGCAAAGTGTTGCACTAATTTACAGAGAATTTCATTATTGCCATTTTTATTGGTATATTTACGAGGCCCCTTTCCTCCTGCATGTAACTTGAAGTTAAGCTTGTTACTCTTTGTTCTTTCCTTTTCTTTCCTTTTTTGTTTTTATTTTTTTTCCGCCATTTTTTCCCCTTGTTTAGGTACAGGTGAGCAGGCGCCCACTTTGTGGTGTGATCCCCATGGGGATGCCAGGGGTTGAGATGAGCCAAGTGGTGAGTACATACAGAAGGGCTGTCTGAGTACAGCACGCTTGCTTACTCAGGCCGTAGACCTAGCAATAGTGACATTTTTCTGGTGCTCGTTTCGACACATGCTATCGTGTGCCATGCTCAACTGACGACGTCTGACGTCATTCTTCTACTGGATTTTCTCTGACTTCCATGGATGATTGTTTTTATCTATTATATTGCCCGCTTGTCGCCGGTTGTTTAATAACTTATGTAAAGTTATCTAACTTATTTTCTTGAGCTATATATTAGTTAATAGTTATACAGTCTGCCTTACTCATTTATATAAAGGTAATTTTGTTGCCTTACTTTCTAGGTGACCAGAAACAGGAAACTGCACTGTATCATTTGTATGGTAGAAACTCCTCTATAGAATAGAATCAATAGATAGAATAAACTTTTGTATGCGAGAAACTCCTCTATAGAATAGAGTCAATAGATAGAATAAACTTAAGTTCTAAGATTAGATAGATACTAAAGTTCTATAGAGGAGTTTCACGGCGCACAGTGCGCGCGCTGTCATTCGAGCGCACAGTGCAGTGCGCACCGCCCGGCACCACACTGTGCACGCGTGCGCCGCAACTATGATAGATAGTAATTAAAGGGCAATCTGCAGGAAGCCAAAACACATTTTACTTTGTCGCTAGAGACTCTACGTGGAGCTACTACTAATTAATGAAAACTTTAAAAAGAGAGAATACAAAACACCAATGACTAGGTCCACCTCGGGATTATTCTTTTTCTGCCTTTCACAAGTCTGGCAACCATATGTAGGGTCATGACCCGTGACCTGTGGGTTAATTTGGTTACTTAGAATATGTGCTACACTCTCCTCCATTTTTCACATGCCGGATGGGGGAAAGAATGAGTCTGTGTCCCCCGTTGATGATCGACTATGCTCTATTTTTAATATTTATTTATTATTTGATGATTGCATGATGGGCGGGCTTGTGTTTTTTATTTTTTTTTGTATAGCGAGCTGGCTTTGCTGATATCTTCGGATGCCTTCTTCTGGGCTTTGTCTGGCTTCGATTAGAGGACCCTTTTCCCCCTGGACACCCCGCTCGTTTCTCCTCATGCTCCCTCCTGTCCCTCTCTCCTCAATGGCTCCCTTGAATGATGCCTGTGTTTCTTTTCTTGTGGAATTCAGATGTTCTGTTGCCTGACTTGCTGACCTGGACCTGTCAGGCAGAGCCACCGGTTGTGGTCCACACGGTTGTTGAGCTCCAGTCCAGGCCCCCAGAACCAGCTGAGCTGTCGGCGATCGGCAGGATGTTCCTTGCGAAGGCAACGGCAAAAGCGTACGGTAAAGAAGATCAGAACAGGCCATTAAATGGAACTGGTGAAAAGGTGTGCGATTCAGATGGTGTAGCGCCACCGTCAATCAACTGGGACATTGGCTCTGTTGATCCTGCGGCAGAGCTCGGTTCGTCCACTGATGACAAGCCTGTAGAAATCAGCTGGGATATTGGTGAACTGGACTTGAATCAGGAACCGCCTGATGATTTGCAAGTTGAAGGTGACACTATTGCCAGTGGGACTCGGGAAGTGGCGGGTGTTGTACATAGCATTGAGGACCAAGAGCAGCAGATGACGACGGAACATGAGATTCAGTGGGACATCGATGTGACAGATACCGCACTTGCTGCACCGCTGGAGATTGACTGGGACATTGGAATTGTGGTGCCTGAAGGGATCGATGGTGATGGTGTCAGTGCTCTCCAAGCTTTAGGTAATGAAGCTGACGGTGCTGGTACGGGAGAAGTTGATGGAGTCGCAAGGGATGAAACTCTACCTCATGCGCTGTCAACTGTGGAGTATAGGAACATGCTCGTCAATGATCTCTTCGAGGTATTTCACTGCATAACTCCGGTTCTTAATCTCTTGCCATCTTGATTTTTGTTTATCATCCTTGTGCAGGGGCCATGTAAATCTTCCCTGTGTCATTTGAGATTCAGACTTTGTTTGCTGTGTTCTCTGGATATGTTTGTGATCAACCCATCTTGCATGTATGCATGCCCCGTGCTTGCTTGTTGAGTTTTTTCGCTATGTGCGCAAGTGCATGCGTGTGTGGGCGAGTCTCACTTTGGTGGGCTCGGATGATGTCATTGATGATTGGCCCGGGGAAGTTGGAAGTCGCCTCCAACAACAATAGGAGTGCCACTGATGTTAAGAAGCAGGGGTTTTGCATTGTATGAATGATGAAACAATCAGCAGCATTCAATCTGCTTCGCAGTTGCTCTTCGCGTGGGGGACTTGTCGGGAGTAGCATTGACATGAGAGCATCTTGGAGCATTTCCGGGAAGGCAAAACGCAAAGAAGAAACGAAGTAGCACGTGTCAGAGTCACATAACGGACAGCTTGGCACAGTCCGCCCACTTCTCTCTCTCACACACACACACAAAAAAAAAAAAATAAAAAAAAATCAAAAGACAAAAGACGAAATACAAAAGACATCCTGGCACTTGGGGCGGCTATACCACTCATCACCTCGCCGGCTTCCCGTCACCCTCCTTTCCGCCGTCTATCTCTCTCTCTCACACACACATACGGAAAAAAATAGAGAAGAAAAAGACAAAAAAGCATGATGAACCTTTAACCTCCCCCCCAGTCACCGACTTCCTCCTAATCCTCATCGACTCCCCCATCTCTCTCTCTCTCTCTCTCTCTCTCTCTCTCTCT